GAAGGAGATGAAGTGAACAAGTCAGGCAGTGGGTTGAAGTATGTTGTGTTGTTTTTTAAATACAGAAAAGCAAGGACAGGAAGTGATAGAAAGCGAGAACGGCTGTACGAGGTGAACCAGAGCATGACATGGTGTTTTGAAATGATAGAGAATATGTCACAGGGGCTGGAACTACACATGCACACACAGACAGATAGGGAGGTAGACAGGGAAGGGGAGGGAGAGAGGAAGGGGAGGGGGGAGAGAGGAAAATAAACAGAGTAGGCATTACCTTCCAGCAGCAAGTCTGAGAGAGAGAGAGTGCGACTATCGCCTCAGACATCTCAGCTGATAGCAGCAGCTCCAGGCTCCACTCGACTCTCCTGTACTTTACTGGGATCGACTTGAGCGCTCAGGTCACTGGGAGGTTGGTGGTGGCAGGGGATTTAAGGACCTCCCCTTAGAGGTTTAGAGATCAACCAAAGCTGCTGTTAGCCACACTCACACTTCTATACTCTTGAAGAAGTGGTCAGGCCGTTATACTTTGTAATCAACTGGAGCAACAGCAGGCTGAATGGGACACATGTAGTGACAACTCCGCTGAGAGAGCAGAAGAAGCTGCTGGGTTACGTTCTACTCTTCTGATATTCCGGCAAAGGGAGCAACATGCATGTGTTACAGCCGTACTGCATCAACAGGTCTGTGTGATTGTGTGAATCTAGTTCTATTTATGTGTGTTGAAAGAGGGTGTGTGCCACCGCTGACATTCATATCCACTACTGCATGTTCACGGCAGAGATGAAGTAAGAAACGTCTGTGCTGAGTGCAGCTTGCCTCTGGTTCAGTTTGTATTATTGTCCTTGCTGTTTTTAGACCATTTTATCAGTCTTGAGTCTTCATAGCAGTCCACAAATTGGATTTTCAAATGATTATTTTAAAATACTTTTAATGTAATATTTATCTAATATGTCCGGAATTCGCAAATAAAACAAATAATCTACTTACATTATTGTGGCAGTTCGTTTCATGAACTAATGTATTACATTTGTCGAGATTTTTTTAAATGAACATGGTGCCTTGTCAGCAGAGTAGAAGGGTCTGTAGCCTGGCAATCCGCTGATGTAAATGTGCCTGTTTCTTCTTCTTTGCTTTTGTTTTCAATCCTTAGGAGCTGACATCAAGTGTTAATGCATGTTCATTTGCTTTAAAAAAAAAAAAAAAACAGCATGCTAACTTAATAATGAAGCGTTTATAGAAACTCCCACCCCAACACAGAATCTTCCAGAATATCGTCTATTTCAGCTGATGCTTTCAGAGTGGAGCTATAGACTGGCTCCTGCGTCTGTCTTTGCAACCACAGCATCTGTTGCAACTGCACCATGTGTTCCCTGGTGTATTTAAAGACACTATTTGTCAGGGTTTTATGTAGTTATAGCACCATTCAGAGCTTTGTGGCAGCATGCAGTGCTGTCTATTTTTCGATGCTGCTACTGAGGTGCCAAAGTTTGACATTTTAAAAGCTAGTACACAGTGGCTTTAAAGCTGCACTACTCAATATGAAATGTAAAAGGTGTTGTGTTTACATTGTGGTGTCTTTTTCTTTGAAAAACACCAAGATTAAAAGTGAATGGATTTAACAGTGTCTTTATTTACTATTCACTAAGCTCCAAACATTAGCATGTGTGGCAGTAGTAATCCTGGAAAAATTAAAAAGTCAGCTGGAGATGGTGTTTCAACCAACCCGTCAAGCAAATGTTAGCTTCATTAGCTAGCTAGCTAAGGCTGATAAAATATCCTAGCTGCATTCATTACGGCTAGAATTGAGAGGCCAGCTTTTGTCTACCACTGTCTGAAATCAAGGACTCAGTGTTTAAAAACAATTGCAGTGATTTGAAGTGGTAAAATATGCTGAGTCGTCATCATTGTAAACTGCATGTGCTCTTTAGAAAGCTTGACAGGCAAAGCAAAGGTAAAGGAACAAGTCTTAGCGAATGGTCAGTTCCCATCCAACTCTGCTGTTCTCCTCAGATCTGCAGAACACTTAAGCCTCTTTAATTTCATTGTTCTGGTTATCCAGCCCAAACGCCGCTTGACAAACCCATTGTATACTAGCTGCCCACCACCAAGCAGTTAAGAGTTTGTGGAGACCAGTACAAAGCAGAAAAGTGAGAGTTAATAATGGACTTGCATGCGCCAAAATACCACCGGGATAATAATGTTTCTGTATTTTCTTCATGTGTAAATAGGCAACTGTTTGCTAACATTCTCTACAAAAACGGTGTAAAGCGCAATCAATTGAAATTTGATTGAAATCACAATATGGCCTACTGCAATTTTTAAATCACAGGAAGCGGTGTATTTGTTAAAGGTGACATGTGTGTCAAAATACCTTTTTAAATTAAATATTGGCATGTTGCAGAGATGTCCTGGCCTACACATTATATTGTCTTAACATCTTTGTTACAGACCCATGCATACACCATAATTGATATGTTTATCAATGAAAATGGTGTAAAATGATAATTCCCCCTAGTATCACAAATCACATTGCAATTGCAAAATCATTGTTCATACTCCCACTGTATGTCTGCTTTGACTTGTGGCTCACAGCCGAAGAATTATTTCAGTTGGTGTGTTTGCATAAATGGATACTAGACCTCCTGAGTAATTCCCTCGTGTTGTGTAAACATGTGGTGGACACAAGCTCCATATGATGATTATAAAATTATGTTTATTGAAGATTTGAAACATTGTTGGTTTTAATCAATGCAGATATGATAATGTGAGTTTTTCTGTTATGGTGGCTCACCTCACAGTGATCAGCAACCCGAGTAGACAGTTTCCCACCGTGTTACTGCCTGGCTATGTGCACAGCAATAAATTTAATACGTTTGCTCGACCGTGAAGAGCAGCAAGAACCCAGAAAGAGACATCAGAGGATTTTCTTTTTCTTTTTTTGGGGAGGGGCGTGGAGGGTGGTTGAAAGAGGAAAGTGGATTTGACAGCCAGAGAGAGCAAGGGATGGAGGAAGGGCGAGGGAGGAGAGCGGTAATACTGCTGATGGAAGTTTAGGGACGAAAGGAAAGGAGAGAGATGGGGTGGAATTGGGAGAGGGAAACACTGAAATGACTGGGAGGAAGGAAGGAAGGAAGGAAAGTTGAGGGAGTGGAAAAAGAAATGGGGAGTAGCCAAGGTGGCACAGAGAGAGCGAAAGATTTTATGAGGGAGAGGGGAAATGGGAATGGGAGGGGTGTGTGAAAACAGTCATGTATGGGGCTAGACAGAAAAAAAAATGGAGGGAGAGAGGACGGTAATCCGAATCTGCGGTCAGGACCAAATGCAGACTCCATCCTGCGAGTGTGAGAAGAGTGATGAATCCACATCGCTGTTAGCTCCTTGTAGTTTATTTTTTCAGCCTGCAAATGTTGCTCTCAGCTTTTTCTATAGCAGGCAGCTGTTTAACAAAAATGCCCAGATAAACCCACTGCACATTACTGTCGAAGCACGAAAAGGCAGACTGACACAAAGTTAGGAACAAGCTGGAGAACATAGCAGCTAAAGAACCAGATATTATTCTGAGAGCTGGTGGAGAGCAAAACGGAGCAGAACTTCTATTGAATGTGAACAGGTACAGTTTCTGAGAATTTATTCAAGCCAACAAAAGGGCGGAGTCCAGAATTCAACATAGGTAGTCCACAAACACAGTAATCCAAACGGGCAACAGAAATACTAAGTCCATGGAACAGAAAGCAGTCCAAACTATCCAGCGGGTAATACTCCAACAAACAACAGGGTCCAGGAACAGACAGGAAACAGACAGACAGACACACGGCGAGCAAAAATACATATAACAAACCAGCAACAGCTAAACAGAAGCAACAAACATTTAAGCACTGGCTAACGAGGGGGGCGGGAGCACAAACAGGTGGTACCAATAATGACAGACAGATAACAAACAGGCCCAAACTAACAGAACTACCAACAAGCCCACAGACAAATACCAACAGAAATATGAATACATAGAACAGATATACAGGGTACAAAAATATAAAACTATGAACTAATAAAGACACAAGCAGACAGGTCACCAAGAACTACAACCAACAATGAAAAACAGACTGAAGCTGAGATTAAAGAGAACACAGAGCAGACGAGGGCAACATTACACAGAGGTACACAGACCAAAAGTAAACACTAAGACATGAACCGAGACCCAGAACGAGGAGCTAAGACACAGAGCTAATCCTAAACTTAAGGATGTGGATGAATGAAATAATAAACAAGGATACACAGAAACTAAAGCAGAAAGATCAAAATCATAATGACTAAACGGATCATAACCCCACAACCAGACACACAGACAGTAACAAACCAATCAGCACAAGCACAGAGTAACAGGACACAAGAAATAACTGAAACTCAAAACACAGACTAACCATGTAACAGATACTGGACACAGGGCAATAGACAGGACAGAACCCAAAACCCAACATACTATAAGACAGACACTAAAAAGACTACAAATAACATGACTGAAAACTAAATGACCAAAGCAGAACAGACAGGCCCACAGTGTGACATAGCACCCTCATGAGACGCCCTGGGCTTCCAAGTAACGCCAATGTAACCCATCCACCGTAACGTAATGTACTTATTTCAGCCCAAAACACGATGTTTTCCTAAATGTAACCAAAACCATGATCTTTCCTAAACCTATCAAGTAGTTTTTCATGCCTAAACCTAAGCAAACTGCATATTGTATAAACCGCATCTTAAAAAGGCGTCTCATATGGATGCTGAAGGGTACCTTGTGTGTCGAATACCGACACTTTGTCGGGCTTTTGCAAAGCATCAGTATTTGAAGCCCTGAGCCGAGAACGTGTTGTTTATTGACGTTTTTTAAATTATACAATTAACCAAGTAACCAAAAATAATGAATTAATGGATAATGAAAACAATGTGTTTTTGTCACAATGTTCTTCTTTTTCACATTTTTGTCTCCATTTCTCCCCGCCTTCCAGGTGGCCAGATGTGCCGAAGAGAAAGAGTAAGAAGAGCCAGTGTTCGGTGAAGAGTATGTCTGGTAAGGATTTATCATCTCCGCAGGAAGATTTGGCCAGTGTTCAGTGTGTGACTCTGCAGCTGGCTCCGCTGGGCAGTTTTAGAATTAATCTAGCACAATAATTTGCCCATTATACAACAATTTAACAAATCATGCATGCTTCAACAAAGCTGAAACAAACCCCTCTCAAGACCTATCAGTATTTTTAACCCTATAACATGCAGATTTATGTTCATACTAAACAGTATTATCTGACTAGTTGTGTCTCACCTGGTCATAACAATGTGCCTTTTTTTACTTATGTGTTAGTTCCTGTATTAAAAGCCTTAACTGTAATTTCAAGGTTCCAATGGAATTTTGATGACAAGGAAATCTTTGTGTTTATGTGTAAATCACAGATTGGGTCTTTAAGAGATCAGTCACAGGCAAATGGACTGTTTTCTTTAGGGCTGTACTAGTAGTCTCTAATCTTATTATAGGCTGCTGTGAATCACCTCAATATGCAGCCCTGTTTTTTTGCAAGCATTAGGCGTGTGTTGTCCTCTTTTGGAAATCATGGCCTATATTTATTAAAGTTTTGAGAATTTAGGCTGCTCTCCAATTTAGGAGGAAAAAAGCTCTTCCATATAAGTGACGAATCAGACATATTCATCAAGCAGTTTCTTTAGTGATCACATGATTAAGACCACCTCTGAGAAGGACTTAACGGCAATCTACCCCATTGTTCATTCTTTAAAATATCTTTATTTTCTCAATTGTGTCCTTCTTATGGTTGGTAAAGTTTATTTCTTTGAAATCCTGAATATCTCAGAATAGTGATGTCTCTCGGGATGAAGGACTCTTTAAATGCGATATACTCCCCGCTTTCTTCCTCGTCCTTCCTGTAAAAAATGAGTCATGTGTTGATGAGACTGCGAGCAATTGTGATTGGGTGGTTGGGTCGTGTGTGTCAAGGTGTGTGTGGAGGTTGGTGGCTTGCTTAGGCATTTCAATGAATGCACGTCTAAGAAAACCCTGGCTATATTCAGAAACGCCTACTACATACTACTGGCAACCGCATACTGCATACTCTATGGAGTAGTAGTGTGCAGTATGAAACTGTTAAATTGATTTATTTTGCAGTATGCTAGGCCAGCCAGTAAACAATAGGAGGAATAGAAATGTAAGGAAGACTTAAAACATTTTTAAAATGTAATCTTGTGTAAGGCTGCAGCCGATCTGTAACAGACACTTGCTTTGGTAAATTGGTGCATAAATAAGAACTAAAGCGGCGAATGGAAATGAAAAGTCAAGACGAAATTCATATTTCATGAATTCTAGGAATGTGACTGTGTCTGTGTTTAGAAAAGACTACCAGTCTTAAATATGCTCCATCCTGTAACACAGTCTCTTGGGGCCCTATGCACAGGAGCTTCATTGAGGCCCCTGTGATAACACTCAGCTCCCTCCTCCCTCTCCTCCTTCCCCTCATCTTCTCCTCTCCTCCTCATCACCACTGTTCTTCATCCTCACTGTCGACCCCGCCCCCCTCGCTCATACTCATTGGTTCTCCCTTCTCTCATTTCACCACATCTTCAACCTCCTCCTTCTGTCCTATAGCTCTTAGTGTCTCTGTTCCAGGGTACATCCCCAGCTACCTGGAGAAGGATGAGCCGTGCGTGGTGTGTGGGGACAAGGCGACTGGCTACCACTACCGCTGCATCACCTGCGAGGGATGCAAGGTACAGCTCCCTCTTTCTAAACGATTTGAAGCTTTAGCCTCAGTCTTTTAGCACAATGTCATTTTTATTGCCATCAAGTGTATGGTGAACACGTCTTGTTTTAAAACGAGACTGTAAACATTACAACGTAAACTGGAGACTGTCTTTTCAACCAACTCGTGGAGTTGTTTGCTTGATTAGCTAGCTAGCTAGAGTTGATCAAATCTGCACAGAATTTTGATTATGTATGTCTTATCTTATTTTATCTCCATTGTTTGAAAAATGTGGCGCCAGCTCAAAATGTTCGCTGGCAAGTATTTTGGAATTACATCCTTGATGTTTTGAATTTTTTAAGGTCTTTTCACAGTACCACCCTTTGTTCCTTGTGGCTAATTAATGCTGGCAGAATTATCTGAAGTTTTTTAGTCATCTGTTTCACAGAACAAATGTACTTACAATACTTATATGATCTTCTAATGTGATTCTCCCCCCAAATTTTTTAACAAGATAGTCAAAGCTGATGATTGTGATAACAAGAGAAATTATATATAAATGATTTTTTTAATACCAGGCATGGCTCTTCTAGTTGACAAAGTTTTGTCTGTAATGTTATTTTAATCCAGAAAATAAGGCATAAAATAAAACTGAACATTATTTTCAATCAGAAAATTTATTCTTACTCATGTCACTGTCCAGCAGTTACTTTGCAGGAGGCCTCTTGATGGCAGGGTGTTGGTATTCTGCTGAGCAGAGGTTTATTATCCAATGATTGGCGCCCCATTGAGCAGCCTGTCCACGGTCTCTAAAAATGGCTTCAGCTAATCTCAAACCAAACTGCCATACTCACTGATGCTTCTCTGCTTACAATCATGTCTTTGTGAACCTCTTTGATAGTGTGATTCTACTCAAACTGCTCCCCAACTGTCTTGTACAAAAGTGATTACTGAGAGACGTTCAGTCAGCCATCACTTCATTAACCACTCTCAGCAAGCAGGATCCTGTCACGCAATTATCAGCCTGCCATGCGATAAGCCCCATTTAATGCTTCATGTTTTATGCTAATAGAAACACAAGAACATTTAATTGGTGGACTTAATTTTTGATGTTATGTAGTTGCATACTTCACTCAATCAGTGAATGTTCTATCTCTGTGTTTGTCTTTATTTCTTTTAATGTCTCTTCCTTTGTCTTTTCTTCTCTTTTTCCACTTCCTTTCCTCTCTTCAGGGTTTTTTCCGCAGGACCATCCAGAAGAACCTACATCCATCTTACTCCTGTAAATATGAAGGCTGCTGCATCATCGACAAGATCACACGCAACCAGTGCCAGCTGTGCCGCTTTAAGAAGTGCATCTGTGTGGGCATGGCCATGGACTGTGAGTTATTATCAGCTCATGTACTTTTATCACTGCTGGTATTTAGATTCATGAGATTAAAGGCCAATTTATACTTCTGCGTTTCTGAGAATCTATGCCGTAACCTACATACAGCCGTGTACCCTAATCCATACCCTACACTGTAGCCTGACGTGCCCCATAAAATATAACCACACGCATTTCCTCCTACGCATTTCCAGCTTGTCCTTCTTCTGCCTCAACCTGTTTGAGGGTCGTAAATACCCTTTCCAACCTGAGGTTGATTAGTTTGGCTTTATGTAAAATGTCTTGACAACTATTGGATGAATTTCAATGAAATTAGTTACATACATCCATGTTTACCTTAGGGATTGTTGTAAAACCTTTGGTGATCCCAACCATTAGCCTTTCATCTAGCGCCATCATCAAGTCAACTTTAAATTTGTCCAATTTGAGACTAAACACTTGCAAAACTAAATACATTCCCATCAGCCTCCACTATGTACTCTATTTAGTGCTAACTAGCAAATGTCTGTCCATCCATCCATCGTCAACCGCTTATCCTGCGTACAGGGCCGCGGGGCTAACTAGCAAATGTCTGTCCATCCATCCATCGTCAACCGCTTATCCTGCGTACAGGGCCGCGGGGCTAACTAGCAAATGTGAGAATGCTAAACATTAGCATGTTAGCTTTTCCCCTTTTCCCTATGTAATAGAGCCACTAGCATGGCTGTGGACTTACACTCCTGTAGTCCTGGAAGCAGAAGTTGTGTAGCTGACTGCTCGTCAGACTCACTGTTTGATGTCAGAGCAAGGTGCACATCATACAGTATGTGCCACATTTGTCTTTATGTGCATTCACAGGTGTACACAAAGATTTCTGCACTGCCTTGCAGTCTGTGTAGTCAAGGAGAGGAACAGCAGCGTAGACACACACACACACACACACACACACACACACACACACGTACTCATACAATATCATCTACTTTGATGTTGGTCATGATATTAATTAACAGTACAGCTGCTCCGGTTGAGAAAGAAAATGGTTTGTTGAAAAGACAAATTTACACCATCTGGACTTTACTTCAACTACACTGCACTTAAATTATGTTGCTTAAATCTGACTACCTGTAGCAGCAGTGGTCCTTTACATTTCTGTGCTGCTAATGAATAAACAGAGAAACAACTTTAGACATATATAATCGAACACAAGATGCTCGCATAGACTTTTGCATCCTGGCCAGCCTGCTTTTTAGTGATATCACAAAACTCCTCGCAAACCACGACTGCAGCCGTCATGGAGCAACAGCGAAGCATACACTGTACACAAATAGTAACAAAATATAGAATGCAACAAACTAGATATGTTTAATGTAAAGCATTCAGTGTTACATCAGACCTTTCATTCTGTCAGCATTTAACTGAAGGCTTTTGAAGGTCATCCGGGTTCAGTTATGAGTATGTTGAATATACAGTGACAATTCTTTTAGATTCATCAGGATCAAATTTGCTGAAAGACACACATGTAGTCCTTGCTCCTGCAGGAAGTGTGAGGTTCAAGTGATTCATTCACAAAGCAAAGTAATAGCATTCAAGGACGCGGAGACCAGAGCTCTATGATTAAAAGCAATCACTGAATGAGTCATCCAGTCACATTTTAGTTCGTGTAATTTAAGCTTTCTTACAATGGACAAAATGCACAGTGAAACCTCTGGTTAAACGTTGTTGGTGAAAAGATGTGTCCACTCACAGTCCGCAAACACAAATGGTTTTACAGCTTTTCCATTTCAGTTAAATTTTTACCCATTCTAGCAGCAATGTAAATGCTCCGTACTTGTATAGCGCCTTTCTAGTCTTTTCGACCACTCAAAGCGCTTTTTACACTACATCTGCATTCACCAGTCACACACATTCATACACTGAGCCTAAGTGTAGTTTCAAACGGAAACTAACATTCACACTCACTCATACACTAGGGGCAATTCTTTTAAGGACACCGAGACCATTTTACACGCCTTCATCTCATCACGCCTGGATTATTGCAACAGCCTTTTCACCTGTTTAACCCAAAAATCTATTGATCGACTCCAGACTGTCCAGAATTCAGCTGCCAGGCTTTTAACCAGAACAAAGAAATATGACCACATTACTCCTATTTTAGCTTCATTACACTGGCTCCCAGTATGTTTTAGAATTGACTTTAAAATTCTATTGATCACTTTTAAAGCTCTTCATGGCCTCTCGCCTTGTTATATTTCTGACCTTTTAGTCCCATACGCACCAGCACGTACCTTGAGATCCTCGGGCAGAGGTCTGTTGTCTGTTCCAGAGTCTCGACTGAAAACTAAAGGGGACAGAGCGTTTGCTGTCAGGACCCCGAGGCTCTGGAACAGCCTGCCCGAGGAAATCAGGTCGGCTGAGTCAGTGAACTCCCATAGTGAAGTCCCTTCTTAAAACATACTTTTATAGGAGAGCTTTTCCCGACCTTATTTGACTTTATTTTATCCCTTTTATTTTATTGTATTTTACTAATTTTATATTCAATTTTCATGCTCTTAACTTTTTTTTGTATTATTCTTTACACTTGTTAAAGCACTTTGTAACTTGTTTTTGAAAAGTGCTCTACAAATAAGGATTATTATTATATTATATTATAATTCGGGGTTCAGTATCTTGGACACTTCGACACGCGAGCCGGGGATTGAACCGCCGACCGAGTCATTGTGAGCGTGTTAGCAAGCTGATTTTAGCATTTAGCTCAAAGCACCACTGTTATTAAGTACTCCCTTACAGAGCCGCTGGCGTGGGAGTCAATAACTAGAGGATGGTTCATCATCAGGTCAACATGTCCAATACTTTGGTTTATGATCAAATGCGTGCATAACAAATGACAGCTGCACTTTGTGTTTAGTGCTAATCCCAAATGTTAGATTGCTAACTCCATCCATTATTCCATATATTATCTATAGCCGCTTATCCGGGTGAGAGGCGGGGTACACCATAGACAGGGCTGACACAAAGAGACAAACAACCATACAAATTCACATTCACACCTAAGGGCAATATAGAGTCATCAGTTACAGACAGTTGTTGTTGAAGACCTGCATACTTCAACTGTAGCCTCACTTCATTTACTCAATGTTCTCTTCCCCCATCCTGCCTATCAGTGGTGTTGGACGAGTCGAAGCGCGTGGCCAAGCGGCGTCTGATCGAGGAGAACCGACAGAAAAGGAAGAGGGAGGAGATGGTGCGAACGCTGCAGACGAAGCCGGAGCCAAACACTGCAGAGTGGGAACTGATCAGGATGGTAACCGAGGCCCACCGGCACACCAACGCCCAGGGATCCAGCTGGAAACAGAAGCGCAAGTTCCTGGTAAGCTTTTAGTTTTGAGCAGGCAGAGTCTTTAGGCAGAGTGCTGTTGCATAATAATTTATAGAGAAGTCTCACAAGTCAATAGCAGTGACATCTTCTGTTCAGGGGTGGCTACTTAGTATTGTTTGCAAAAAAGTTTTACATCATGCTGGCCTGTATCCGCTGTTTTTCAATGTAAAATTACTTTTTAATCTCTCATACATCACTTTCTATTATAAAATATTCTTTGAAAGGTTTTAGTTATATTTACATTTAGCGGATGCTTTTATCCAAAGCAACTTACAATTGCTATACATGTCAGAGGTCACACGCCTCTGGAGCAACTAGGGGTTAAGTGTCTTGCTCAGGGACACAATGGTGGATGGGTCACAGTGGGGGATTGAACCCGAGTCTCTCACACCAAAGGCCTGTGTCTTGTTGCTCCATCGCCACCCAGTTGCAATAGAAAGTGGCTCTGATTTTTTTAAAATTCCATTGTAAATGTGATTATCCCATGCCAAGTTAGTTATCGTTAGCCCACTGATTTTGTGTCGAACAGCCCATTGAGGCATCAAAACTTAGTAAAATCTGATCATACAGATATTATGCGCTTATTTTTAGGTTGACTTCCCAAGGATATCATTATACCTATTTGCCTGTCATGAATAAACCTTCATGGATTCACCTGTTTCAATGGCTGAACTCCAGGAAGCTCTCTTACATATGCCGAATAATAAAGCCCCTGGGCCAGATGGTTTTCCCGCTGAACTCTATAAGGAATTCTGGGAAATACTTGCGCCCACATTCTATAGGATGGTTATGCAAATTAGGGGTACTTGCATGTTGCCTCCAACAATGAATTCTGCTAATATCAGCCTGCTCCTTAAACCAGACAAAGACCCCACACTCCCGTCCAGTTATCGCCCAATATCACTTATTAACGCAGATCTTAAAATCATCTGCAAAACCCTAGCAAGAAGGCTAGAGAAGGTCACTCCTGGTATAATACACTCTGACCAAACAGGATTTATTAAGGGTAGGCACTCCACCAACAATACACGCAGGCTACTTAACGTAATAGACTATGCCACTATTCATAACCTGGAAACTATAGTTGTTTCTTTAGATGCAGAGAAAGCATTTGACAGAGTAAATTGGAAATTTCTATTCGCTACTTTATATAAATTTGGATTTGGAAACTCTTTCATAGATTGGATTAAAATCTTATACAGTTCCCCAAGAGCTTCTGTCAAAACAAATGATCATACTTCTCCATGCTTTAGTCTCCAGAGGGGTACCAGGCAGGGTTGCCCACTCTCTCCCTCGCTATTTGCTATTTTTATAGAACCACTAGCAGCTGCGATCAGACAAAATAATAATATTAAAGGAATTCAAACAGAAAATATACACCATAAGATAAGCCTTTATGCAGATGATGTATTACTTTTCCTCCTAAACTCACAAACGTCTCTTTCTGAGACAATCACACTTATAGATAAATTCTCATCCATCTCAGACTACTCCATTAACTGGAGTAAATCCATAGTTTTACCTGTAAAGTGTGATTTCCAGAGTATATCTACCACACCGCTAAAGTCTGGGAATATTAAATATCTGGGTGTCAATATTTCTTCCAGGCTGTCAGAACTGACATGGCTAAACTACACGCCTTTACTTAAATCTATAGAGGATGACCTTGTACGGTGGACATCATTACCTATATCACTCATGGGAAGAGTCTCCACCATAAAAATGATGGTCCTACCTAAAATCAATTATCTGTTTTCAATGTTACCCACCAAACCCTCTGCTGTCTGGTTTAAATCACTGGACTCAAACATCTCAAAATTTTTGTGGAAAAATAAACCCCCACGAATCAGTCTAAAAACTATGCAAAAAGCAAAAGACTGTGGTGGTTTAGAACTGCCAAATTTTTATCATTACTTCCTGTCTAATAGACTACAATATATCTCAAAATGGATCAATCAGAGCCCCCTGGACCACTCATGGATGGACATAGAACAAACCTTCTGTAATGAAATTAAAATTTCCGATATGCCATTCATCAGTTCCAGCATCAAACGTCATACCTGCTTTAAAAGCATTAACATAAGCACTTCCTTGGCAGCTTGGTGGGAACTTCTCAAAATATCTGGGTCTTCACCTATCCCATGCAGATTTACCCCAATCTGGAATAATCCTGACATCCTGCAAAATAAGAAAACACTAAATTCCCCACTGTGGTATGACAAAGGGATAAGACATCTAGAGCATGTAATGCAAGGCAGTAACTTTATTCCATTCCAGGATCTAGTGGCACAATATGGAATTAGCCATAATAGATTTCTGGAATTTCAACAGTTTAAATCCATAATTCAGGCTAGATTTAAGGATAAAATAATGGACTTAGATTTACCTCCAATGATAACAGACTTTCTTAAACTCTCGCCTCCAAAACTGTTATCAAAAGTATACATGTTACTGTTAAAAACAGATAGTTCAATCTCTCTCCCATTCTTAAAATGGGAAACAGATCTATCCATTAGTCCAGACCAAAACTTTTGGATGCAGATATGTTTAAATACCTTTAGAATGACTACAAATCCCAATCTACAACTTATACAGTATAAAACTCTCCATAGAACACACTATACTGGACAAAGGATGTTCAGAATGGGTCTTATGCAGTCAAACATCTGCCGGAACTGCTCAGGTAACATATCTGATAGTTACATGCATGCTATGTGGCAATGTACACCTGTTCAAAAGTTCTGGCAGAAGATATGTGAAGACCTATCGATATGGCTAAGTTACCCCGTCCCAGTTTCCCCATCACTCTGCGTGCTGGGGGACCTAAGTGACATTAGTATAGAGGTTGACACATCATACATGCTTCTCACTGCCTTATGCATCGCCAAGAAAACTATCCTCATGAACTGGAAGGCCAAAAAGAATATAAGTATCACCCAATATCGGAATCACCTTATAGATCACATTAGCATGGAGAAAATGTCTGCTGTAAAAAAAAACAAATTGACACAATTCCAATCTCTCTGGTCCCCCTTGATCAACTTTATCACTTAATGGGGGTGGGTGTGTACTGCCTTGCTGGTCAGGGTCCCGTACGGCTGGTAGGTGTGTCTGGGGGTGGGTTGATTCTTAGATGCATTGCGGTGCGGGCGTGGGGGACTTTTTCTAATTTTAAATGTTGGTTGATGGCATGGTGTTGGCGGGGGGCGGTGATGCGGCGCTCGGGTTGCCTAGGGCGCGGGCTTGACGGGGGGACCGGTGTTTGCCCTGTATTCGGCGTGCCGCTGCTGCGGGGTGGGTAGCCACTCTGCTTAGGTGTCACGAGGTTGTTGGTATCGGTGCGCGGGTGGTGATTTTGACTCGCGCGCTGTGCGGATGTGGTGGCGCTCGGTGCTTGGCTGCCTCCCTGTGTGTCCTGTGTGTGGGTCCGGGTTGGGGGGAGGGGGCGGGCGGCGGGCATGGCGGTGGAGGTTGGTGGGGGGGGATGCTTGTGGTGGGTTTCGGTCTGGTGGTGAACGTGCGGCGTGGGTCACGGTGTAGCCGTGGGTGGGGTCTGTGGTCTCTCTGGCTGCGGGGGGGATGGGGGCGGTTTGCGCCGGCTGGCATCTCTCCTGCGCAGCGCATTACTTGGCTGTTGTGTGCCGCTAGTTAGATTGGTAGCGGGGTAGTGTTGATTGGCTCATCTGTAGGTCATTATTGGCTTGCGTGCTTGTCGGGGGTTGGGGGCATCGGGTGCGGGCCGGGACTGGGCTGGTGTGCGGCTCTGTCCTGTGTGCATGCTGTGCATCCTGATAATTGCATTTCGGTTCTCTGAGGGGTCTGGCGACTGGTTGTTGGAGGGGTGGGGGACCGGGAAGAAGGGGTTGACGGGGTGGGTTGGGGTGCGGGCTGGTCCTTTTTGAGCTGGTTGGGGGGTGTCTCCTCTGGATTTTAGTGCCCGGACTGGATGCTTGGTGGTTGTGCCGGGATCCTGTGTATGGAGGGATTGTGCTTTGGGGTGTGTCGATGGTTGCTTGCAGTCGCGTCGCGGCCCTCTGGAGTGTGGTCGTGTTGAGTCCTAGGGGCTATTTGCATCTGCTGACTCCCTAGGGCTGAGGGGCTGTTGCTGCTGTCGCGGGGTGATTGCTGTCTCTTTTCTTTGGGGACGGTGGGGGTTTGTGTGTGGGATGCTTCGCTGCTAGGGAGGGAAGGGAGCGGGGGTGGGGGTCTTCTGGCCTGACCTGGCCTGTGTGGCATTGCCTCCTGGGTGTGGGCCGACCTTCGGATCTGGGCTGTTGGGCCGTTCTGTCCTTGGGTGGGGTCCTTGCTGCCCCGGACCTGCTCCCTTGGGGGCTGGTGGTGCTCGGAGTGCTGCTGATTGTGGGGGAGCGGTGAGGTGAGGGGTTAGCAGTGGGGCTGCCGGAGGGGCCCCGGCGAGGACGGGGGATTGTTGGACTTTGGGTTGGGGCTGCACTGACCTGCCTCTGGAGTGTGTGGGGGTCTGGGGCACGGGGCTTTGGAGCCTCTGGGTCTGGGGCGGGTCTGCGCGCTGGGGGGGCTGGGCCCCCCTGGGCCCGTCCTGGGGATGGGCGGGGTTGTCACTGACTCTGGGGTGCTACCGGTGCTAGAGGGGCTCTTGCTATAAGCCCTGGGCTGGAGGGACCTGGCGTCCTCCTGCTTAGGGGGGTGGGGGACGGGACTGAATAAATGATGGGGCCAGTCAGGAATCTGGTCTTCTAGCCTCCCTATGACCTCCTTCACCTTTCCTCCTTTGGTCATGTCTCACAACATACACCCTTAGGATCCTGGGGGACGGGCAGCCTGCAGGGCGTTTGGGGGGTGGGGCTGCTTTATTGCGGCCTCGCACTTCTTCCTCCCTCACTGCCTGTCCCTCAATTTTAATTACACATTAGACACAGAGGGCTTGGGGGGTGGGAGGGGCACGATGGGAGGCTCCACTACCTGACAGTTGTGGGGTGCCTGTGTCACAACTACCCTCCAATTTTAGTTGC